TCACAAAATTTGTACTAAAGTCCTAGCTTCCAGACTAGTAAAATTGTTGCCTAAAATTATATCTGAGGAACAGGCTGGTTTTGTCAAAAACAGAGACATCTCAGATCAAATACTAATTGCTCAGGAATTGGTACACTCCATTGACAAAGAATTCAGAGGTTCTAATGTAATTATTAAGCTTGATATGGCTAAGGCGTTTGATAAGTTATCTTGGGACTATTTGTTGGCAATTTTGGCTAGATTTGGATTTTCTTCCAAATTCACTTCACTGATTAGAGCTAGTCTTCAATCAACCTATCTTTCTATTCTTATCAATGGAACCCCTCAAGGTTTCTTCCAACCAAAGAGGGGTGTGAAGCAAGGAGATCCACTTTCTCCTTTCCTATTCATCATAGCCTCAGAAGGCTTCTCAAGAGGGCTTAATTGCAGAATGGCTGAGGGTATTATTAAGCCTTTTTGGATAGGGAATCAGGGATACTCCATTAGTCACCTTGGGTTTGCTGATGATCTTCTTATCTTCACCAATGGTGATTCTAGATCACTAGTGAGGTTTAAAAATTTCTTAAAGGAGTATCAGGCAGCTTCAGGGCAAACTGTAAACTTAGACAAAAGTTGTTTCATATGCGGGAAGAAAGCAACTTACAGGAGCTCTGTGATTCAGCAAATTTTGGGAATGAAGAAATCTAGCCTTCCCATGAAGTATTTGGGTGCTAATCTGCATAAGGGTATGAACAAGTTTCATTACTGCTCTGAATTGCTCAAACACTTTGACTCTAAACTATCTTCTTGGAAACATAAAAGTCTGACTCAGGGTGGCAGGTTAGTTCTTATCAAACATGTATTGAGCACGATTCCCAATCATATTCTGGCCTCTGATAAGCTCCCAAGGAAGGTTGTTACCACCATAGAAAAGAAAATGGAAAATTTCTTCTGGGGTATTAATCATAAAAAGTCAAAGGTTCACTGGGCTAGGTGGTCAAAATTGTGTTTTCCAACTGCAGAAGGTGGACTTGGAATCAGGGCTCTCACAGATATTGAAAAAGCTTTTACTTTGAAGCTTTGGTGGAAATGGAAAACTCATGATACATTGTGGTGTAAATTCATTAGAGCCAGATATGATAGAGGGGGGGACATGAGACCCAAGATAACTGACTCTACTGTTTGGAGGAGAATTTGTGGAATTCATGAGATAGCTAATGACCTTTGCTCTACAAGTGATTCTGGGAATGCTATATGGGATCCAGGCATCAATGGCATCTTCTCACTCTCATCTGCATACCATGAAGTAAGAGTTAGCAAGTCCACTACATTCTCTGATCAACAAATATGGAATAAACATCAACACATGGGAATTAAGCTATTCTTATGGAAGCTAGTGAACTGCTATCTACCTTTTCCTGAAAATCTTCAGAGGTTTAACTTGGTTTTACAACCATCCAGATGTCCATTATGTAAAAATCATGTGGATTCCTCCAGTCATCTATTTATTACATGCCCTTATGCAAGGACAATCTGGCAATATTTTATGGGAGTCTTTAATATTGGTGTTCCTAGATCAGCTACAGTCAAACAAATGCTAATTTCATGGTGGATTGAGGCAGGCTCTAAGAAACTTTCAGACATATTCAAGCATAATTTACCAGGTATTATCTGTTGGCACTTATGGAAAGTCTATTCTTCCCACATCTGGGGTTCGGATAATATTCCTTTACCAGGACATCTCATTGTCAGTATTAAAATATATACCCAACAGTGGGCTTGTAAATTTGTCAAAATCAAACCTAGGATAATTGATGAATTTCTATTTAAGGAGGAATTGATTATGGGCAATTTCAAGTTCAACTCAGCGGGTTATCACATCGTAAGATGGCAGAGACCTACGAAATCTTTCAAACTGAATGTTGATGCTTCATTCATACCTGGTCAAGCTAAGGGTGGAGCTATACTGCGCAATGCTTCTGGAGAAATGATTTGGGCTATTAGCTTCCAACTTCGGGCTGATACCAGTGAGGAGGCGGAATTAAAAGCTCTGGTGTTTGCAGCGGAGATGGCGATGGAAGATGGGTTTGTTGACACCCAGGTTGAAACTGATGCTGCACGCTCGTTGTCTACGCTTATGGATGAAACAGGAAACTGTGCTCATGACTTCCGGCTTTTCAGAAAGAAGGTTGCAGACAGAGGTTATTCATTTGGGCAGGTTTTTCGGGAATGTAATGGGCCTGCACACTCCCTGGCAGCTTTAAATATTGAAACGGCCCAATGTGTAAAATTTGTTCAGGTTGGAACTTTACCCAGTCGGGTTAAATCATGTTACTATGCAGATTTTTTTGGCATTCCTAATTTGCGATCTTATTAGTTTTCTTTTATTGGGTCAGGTCCAGCCTCCCAATAATTCCTTTTGTTCACAATGGGTCAGGCCTAGCCCCCCCATTGTGTTAATTGATTCTTGTCTTGTCACGTTGTATTTTGGGAAGGAATGCCTTCTCGGAGAGGTCTAGGCCTAGTCCCCCTCTCTTTTTGTTCTCATAACTTTTTTAATAAAACTTGGTAAATGTTCCCCGGCATTTACCCCACTGATTTTGGTGGTTTACCTTCCGGGTTAAAAAAAAAAAAAAAAATGGTGACCGAAGGCATTGTCTTGGGGCACAAAATCTCCCCTCAAGGCATCGAAGTTGATCAAGCCAAGGTGGAGGTTATTGAAAAATTACCACCTCCTCATTCGGTAAAAGCCATAAGAAGCTTTTTGGGGCATGCCGGTTTTTACCGGCGATTCATCAAAGATTTTTCAAAAATCGCAAAACCACTTTGTGATTTACTTGCCAAGGATGCTACTTTTGATTTCTCTCCATCTTGCTTACTAGCCTTCAACACTCTCAAGAAGGCTCTTACTTCGGCCCCAATAATCATTTCACCGGATTGGTCTCTACCGTTCGAATTGATGTGCGACGCTAGCGACCACGCCATTGGGGTTGTGCTTGGTCAAAGAAGAGAAAAGAAACTTCATGCCATATACTATGCATCGAGGTTACTCCATGATGCGGAACTCAATTATGCAACAACGGAGAAAGAGTTCCTAGCCGTCATCTATGCTTTTGACAAATTCCGGTCTTACCTCATTGGCCAAAAGGTGATTGTCTACACCGATCACTCCGCCATCCGGTACCTCATGAATAAAAAGGATGCTAAGCCACGACTAATCCGGTGGGTGCTTTTACTCCAAGAGTTTGACCTTGAGATTCGGGACAAGAAAGGAAGTGAAAATCTCGTAGCGGATCACCTATCTCGCCTTGAGCCAAATACCACCACGAAAATAGAGGTAATTCATGACGATTTTCCTTATGAGCAGCTCATGGAAGTAAAGGGAGTTCCCTTACCTTGGTTCACAGATTTTGTGAACTATCTTGCCAAAGAAATTCTTCCCCAAGAGCTCACTTTCCATCAAAGAAAGAAATTTTTACATGATGTCAAACATTACTATTGGGATGAGCCATATCTTTTCAAGCATTGTGCCGATGGAATTATACGACGGGGTGTTCCGAATGAGGAGATGTTATCTATCCTTGATCATTGCCATAATCTTCCTTGTGGAGGACATCATGGACCGGACCGAACCGCGGCTAAAATCCTCCAATGTGGATTCTTTTGGCCAACACTCTTTAAAGATGCAAGGAGCTTTGTCCTAGCTTGTGACCGTTGTCAACGCACCGGAAATTTGAGCCGAAGGAATGAAATGCCACAAAACATGATTCTTGTGGTTGAAATATTTGATGTATGGGGAATAGACTTCATGGGCCCTTTTCCTAAATCTCATGGCAAGGAATACATCCTTGTTGCGGTTGATTATGTGTCTAAGTGGGTGGAGGCCATTGCTCTACCGGACAACACGGCCAAATCGGTAGTAGAATTTGTAAAAAGGAACATTTTTTCAAGATTTGGGGTTCCTAGAAGTATCATTAGTGATAATGGTGCTCATTTCAAGAATACCCATTTTGCCGGCCTCCTAAAAAAATACGGGTGCATGTTCAAAACCGGTGCCACTTACCATCCTCAAACTAATGGTCAAGTGGAGGTATCCAACCGTGAAATAAAATCCATTCTTGAGAAGACGGTCAACTCTTCAAGGAAAGATTGGTCTCTAAAGCTAGATGATGCCTTATGGGCATACCGGACGGCCTTTAAAACCCCACTCGGTATGTCCCCTTTCCGGCTTGTTTATGGCAAACCATGCCATCTCCCTGTGGAACTTGAGCATAAATCTCATTGGGCTATCTCTCAACTGAACATTGATACCACCCTTGGGAGAGAAAAGAGAATGCTCCAAATCAATGAACTAGAAGAGCTCCGACGGTATGCATATGAGAACTCCCGTATCTACAAAGAAAAGGCCAAAGTTTGGCATGACAAGAACATTAACCGGAGGGAGTTCTATGTCGGAAAAAAGGTATTACTCTTCAACTCACGGCTCCGATTATTCCCTGGAAAGCTCAAATCCCGGTGGTCAGGACCATATACAATCACCGAGGTCCGCCCATACGGATCAATGATGATTCAAAACGGTGACCAAACACCATTCCTTGTAAATGGTCACCGGCTCAAGCCATACATGGAGTACCATATCACTTCGGCAACCGCCGCATGCCAATTGGAAGAATAGAGGTACGTTGCGTCCGGCCTACGACGTTAAACTGAGCGCTAATTGGGAGGCAACCCAACACAACAAAAAAAAAAAAAATCAATTATGAATAAATATGTTTGAGTTATATTCATTTTTTTATTTATATTTGATCAAAAATCACTTATAAGTAAATATGTTTACTCACATACACAACATTCATATTTATTCATGCTTGATAGTTAAAAAAAAAAATATATATATATATATATATATAAATTTTAAAGAAAGACCGGCGCCGGTCAGAAGCAACCGGCCCCGGTCCGAAACAGAGAGTCCGGGGCGCAACAAAATGGAAGAACCGGCGCCGGATGCCCTATAACCGGCGCCGGTCGCGGCGATTTAAACAACAACCAGGTCGCGATTCAGAGCAAACATTTTCGAAAAAAAACCTCCCAACTCCAAAGCTCTTCGCCGGCCACCACCCCAAACCACCCAAAACCGCCACCCCCAAGCTAAAATTGTTCCAAAAGCTTCATTTTTGCATCAAGCATCATCACAAAAAAGCTTCTTCATCACTCTTTGAACATCAATCCAAGGTATTGTAGCTCAAAATTCAAATCTTCCCTAATTCTTGAATTTTTTTTTCTTTTACAATTCTTGACAAATTAGATGTTTATAAATGTTGAATGATGATTCCTTATGATCATTTGGTATATATAAACTTGATTCTTGTTCAACATTGTGAGATTAAAGTTCAAATTTAGGGGAAATTCTTGAAATTTTTTCTCAAGAACCCTAATTTCGAATTTCTTGTTCATTGATGAATTCTTTTCTGTAATTGATGCTTAGAGATATGTTGCTAATACTTGTTGTTGATACATAATCTTTTAAACATGATTATTGCAAGAATTCTTCAATGAACATAAGATTTGAGAAAATTGAAGAATTTTTCCAAATCTTACCTTGAATTGATGAACAAATGGTGTTGTGTGTATGTGTTGAACTAATTGTGCAGGTTCCATGGCTCCTAAACGACGAAATGATGCTACTTCTTCCTCTTCATCCGTACCACGTTTCACCTCCCCGGAGAATGAGGCTTGGTACGAACAAAGAAAGAAGTGGAAGATAGTGGTTGAGAAGACTGTGCATCCTGAGATCGACGCTCTGTATCGACTCTCCAACGCTTTTGACAAATTGGGATGGGCCGTCATGCTTACTTTGACTGGGGCATACTACCCGACGCTTGTACGGGAGTTCTATGCCAATATTGAGAGGAAAATGGACCCGTTTGGGGATATTGTGAGCACTGTTAAAGGCACAAAAATCACTATTAGCAAACAAAGATTGTGCAACTTGCTTCATATCCCAAACGTCGGTCGTCCAGTTGAAATGAACTCTGTAGTGGTAATCACCGACCCCGCTTACAATGAGGTAGATGTCATGAACGAATATGGATTCGGTGCAGATCTTGGGGCTCGTGTTCTTGAAGCAAAAGAGAGACTTATCGCATACCTTCTTAGCTTCAACATCTTGCCAAGAGCTAGTGACACGCATGTACTTCGGCGGATGGACCTCTACCTAATGTATAAAATGATCAACGGACTTGGGCAAATCGAGGGTATTCCTTTGGCTCCTTTAATCATGACGGAAATGAGGGGCGTCGTCAAAACAAAAAGAGGTGACAAAAACTTTATTTTTCCTCTTTTACTTACAATGATTTTCAGACATTTTGGCGTCGACCTTTCAAATGAAGAAGTGGAGTACACCTCCGAGTCCCAAGTCTTGAGGCCACATACTATGGTAGCCCTCCATTTCAAGAAGGTGGGTAACGAATGGGTTCGGAAGGAAGAAAACGGCGACCAAGAGATGGGTGAGGCTGAAGCACAACCCGCAGGGCGGCCACGACGGACTATGGCACAGGGGATCGACTATATTTGTGACTCCATGGACCGTATGCACGCACGGATGAACGTGTATGAAGCTAACCAAGAGGACCTCCGCACACGTCATACACGGATGGAAGAGCACTTGGGCAACATTGACCGAAGGTTTGGGCAATTCACCCAACACTACTATGGTCAATATGGATACCCCCCTCCCGACCCACAAAATTAGGTTCTCATTCTTGTTATTGCATACTCTTCTCTAAACACATGCTTTGTGGATGGTGATTGAAGTTTTATGCTCCTATGATTTATACATTGGGACAATGTATCTTAAGTGTGGGGGGTGCATCTCAAGGGTAGCTAAACAAATTTTGTGTGCAAAATATTTTTTTTTAGGGAAGGTAAAAATTATGTTATTCTCTTTTTAATGGGTATTTGGTTGAGAAAGTTTTTTTTTTTTTATTATTCACATAAAAATATCATTTTTTTTTAGATTTATTACACTACCTTTTACTCTTGAAAACCACTTCCAAAAGAACTCTTGTGATTAGGAACACCATCTTCTTTCATTTCCAACAATGGTTTAAGTACATCTCAAATATTCAAGAACCGTTTTGGAAAACAAGCCACCCTCATATCCCATCAAATAAATTGGGATGATCAAAATGACTTCAGTAAATGCTTGTTGAGAACCAATTCAAATGAGTAAAAAAAAAAAAAAAAAAAAAAACTCATGATCTCTTTCAAGAATTCCAACTGATCCACTTCCATACTGAAAAGTCAAATACATCAAAAAAAAAAAAAAAAAACCATCCTACACCCCCAAAAAAAAATCGTAGTCACAATCCATTCATCTCCTCTCAAGAGTATAAGTAATTTTTCTAAATCTAATGATATTTTTTTTGTGTTTAATAGAAAAATGGGTTTTGGACCGAGAACGAAAAAAAGAGTTTACAAACATTTTTTTTACCTCTCTTAAAATAATTTATTTTTATGCATATATTTTTGTTGAACTAACCAAGGCATCAAAAGGCGACAACATTGCTCGAGGACTAGCAACGCTCAAGTGTGGGGGAATTTGATAAGCACAATAATTACTTATGTTTTACATAAAGTAATTACATTTATCTGTACAAAAATATGAAGCAAAAACAGATAAATATTCTCGAGTTAGCGGAAACATGAAATACGACATGGAGCAATAAAAATAGGGTCAAAAGTCAAAAGGGATCGAAAACCGGCACTTCGGGATCAATTTCGGGCATCAAACGAAGAAAAGAAGCGAAGTACAAAATTGGGCGCAGGGACCGGCGCCGGAGTCCCTATAACCGGCGCCGGTCGTCAGGAATTTTTGCCCAATTCGGCCCTGTTTCCAACCGGCGCAGCACAACCGGTGCATTTTTGCACCCAACCGGCGCCGGACATGCTATAACCGGCGCCGGTTGTTCCGATTTTTTGCTAAAACAGTCCGACGTGCAGAAGATTTCTGATGGGAAAAACCCATCTTCCTCCATATCTGATCAAATATTGCTTCCATATCCGATTGTTAGGCTTGAATAGACTAAAAGATGCCATTCTTTAGCCTATATAAAGCCCTTAATTCATCAAGCAATGATATTCCATTCCATACTTTAATTCCTAGTTTTCATACTTTGTTTTTGCTATTGTTCTTCAAGTTCTTGAGGAGGAAACTTCAACCTCCGAAACCATTGGTGTTTAGGTATTATTTCCTTTGTAATTTCATGTTCCATTACATTTCAATATTGTATTGTGATTAATATGAGCATTAGAGGCTAATTTCTTAGCTAAGGCTAGGGATGAACCTCTATGCACACTAGGTGTTTGATAAAAGTTCTAAACCAATAAATTGTGATTTATCCTTTACATTTTGATTGTTTATGACTATGGTGTACAACATAGAAGTATGTTAAATTTAGTTTATGCTTGCAATTAACGTTGAAGTCTAAACTATGAACATTAAAGGATAAACATATATAGTACCGAGAATAGAAATATATCCGGTCTTATATGATACGGGTGTGATGTCTTGATATTCAACGGGGTTTTCGGTAGATGAATGTAAGCTGTAACGGGACTTACACGTAACGAAAACCACGCTCTCGCTGCCTTAACCGGAGTTGAGAATATATTAGCGACATCGTATTCATGATTATTGGGAAAGAACTATTATTAAATAACTATTAAAGCATTTAGGTGAATCCCGATTGCCTTGGTAATTCTCATTCTTGTTTAAATCAACCTCAAAGAGCAAAGTTCCTGAAAAACTATACCATTTATATCCTTTTGCATTCAATGCTCGACTTTATAATATCAACCATTTCCCTGTGGATCGACCTGGTATTTACCGGTATTTTATTACTATATCGGCACTTGTATACTTGCAAGTTCAGCCCGATCATCCACCCCTATAACCGGCGCCGGTTATACCATTTTCCACAATTATTCAGCATCGAAGCAAAATCGGCGCCGGTCCACCCCTATAACCGGCGCCGGTCCACCCCGATTCTGCACAAAACATGGAGACGTGCAGCAAGATCTTGATGGGAAAAACCCACTTTCCTTATGATCTGATCAAATATTTCTTCCATGTCTGATTGTTGGGCTCGAATGGACTAAAAGATGCCAATCTTTAGCCTATATAAAGCCCCCAATTCATCAAACAAGATCATCATTCCATTCTTGAAGATTAAATTTCAGTTTTTATATTTCCTTTTTGCATTTTCTTGAAGTGTTGGAGAAGAAGCCATTTCTCTCCTCTACAATTGGTTCTAGGTATTATTTCTTGTATGTTATTGTATTTCATTGTTCTTAGTTACACTTTTGTAATTAATATGGGCATTAGAGGCTAAGTTCTTAGCTAAGGCTAGGGATGAACTTCTATGCCCACTAGGTGTTTGATAAAAGTTCTAAACCAATAAATTGTGATTTATCCTTTACATTTTGATTGTTTATGACTATGGTGTACAACATAGAAGTATGTTAAACTTAGTTTATGCTTGCAATCAACGTTGAAGTCTAAACTATAAACATTAAAGGATAAACATATATATTACCGAGAATAGAAATATATCCGGTATTATATGATACGGGTGTGATGTCTTGATATTCAACGGGGTTTTCGGTAGATGAATGTAAGCCGTAACGGGACTTACACGTAACGAAAACCACGCTCTCGCTGCCTTAACCGGAGTTGAGAATATATTAGCGACATCGTATTCATAATTTTTGGTAAAGAACTAATATTCAACCCTATTAAAGCATTTAAGTGATTCCCGAAGCCTTAGTTGTTGTTATCAATCACTTTAATCAAATTAATTTTAGTTATATCTCTGAAAATTAAAAAGAAGAATCGAGTTGTTATTTTCACAACAACACACAACTCAAAATCCCTGCACTTTACTCATTTATTTATTTAAAGTCATCTACTCTCGGACTAATTAAACAACGTTTCCCTGTGGATTCGACCCGGTATTTTACCGGAATTTATTACTATATCGGCACTTGTACACTTGCAAGTTTAGCCCGGTCAGCGAGACACAAGTTGCTCACCGCTCCGGTAATTGGGTTTTGCTCCTCCGCTTCCTCGATATGAATCCCAGCCTCGAAAAAGCACATCGATGACAGGAGTTTCAGCAATTACAGGATGAATCCAGTCAGAGGACACAAATCTTTCAATATTAATTACTCATAGAAGGAGTATAATATTCCAATGGATTCATATATTCTACCAGTATAGCTCCAATACCTACAACTGCTACAATGTTAGATCTATCGGCGGCCAAGGAGCGTTCTTTACCTACGCGCATGATGCTAACGACTCTGGCTTGGGATTCACAGAAAGAACGACAATAGAGATGTGGATGGATTCAACATCTATGAGTGTAATTTATTGGGTCTCATTTGTAGCTTCAGGAGTGGAATCAGCGATTGTTGATGACTTGATGTTGGGCTTTAACGGAAATGTTGGTCAGTGGCCAAATATTGCTCAAATGATGTGTTTAGGTGTTAAATTGGTCCATTTAAAAGTTGAGTGTCCAATCCGAACTTTGTAAATAGGGTAATTCTATTTACAAACACCATTTTGCTATATACAGCCCCCAATTGATTTAGATTCCAATATTTCCCTTTAACATAACATCGATGCAACCATTTCTCCATTCTCCATTTTAGTTCACCCGCGACGCAATTCTCCGTTATAAGAGGACCCAAATGTTATAAACCATAGACGAACACAGTGCTCAAGCTGAAGCTCTCTGGAACCATGACTTCCTCGGCAACACCTTTTACTCTAACTCTCTCCACTCCACTTATTCAACAACAACTCTATTCATGCACCCACAGTCTTCCATTCAAAGCTTTGTCATTCTGCTCCAATAAGATGAAGCAAAAAATGCAAGAGCTGATCTTGTTGGCGGTGACGATTTGATAGAACAAATAAAAGGAGGTTTTCATGGATTTTGAAAAATTAATCGCAACTCCAGATATGATGCCTAAGGTTGCGAGTTTAGGAAGAATATAGGGTCCTCGGACTCGTGCCAAATCCAAAGACGGGCACTGTAACGACAAATTTACCTCAGCCCATACATGAATTTAAGCAAGGGAAAGTTGAAAATCGTGCAGATAAGACCGGAATTGCTGAGAGCTTCCGCAACGATTAGAGAGCTTCTGGTCTGTGCTGGTCTTTGATCTCTACAACATCTGGCCTATGTTCTGGTCCCCTTCGTTTCCACGTCCGTGACTAGAGTTTTAAAGCTGAGAGAGGAAAAGATCAAAAGGCTAGAATCAGTATTCAAAGTAGTTCTGTTTAATTAAATTGTGAATGGGGCTGTGTCGAGGAAGCCATGGTTCCAGAGAGTCTTCAGCTTGAAAACTGTGTTGCCTCGCGGGTGAACTAAAATGGAGAATGGAGAAATAGTTGCATCTATGTTATGTTAAAGGGTAATATTGGAATCTAAATCAATTGGGGGCTGTATATCGCAAAATGGTGTTTGTAAATAGAATTACCCTTGTAAATAACCCGGATGTCCTTTTTGAGCCTTCTTCCTCCTTTAAGAGGTCCCAAGTCACATTTTTTGGGCCTAGTTACTGGTTTAATTAATAAAATTTAAAAAAGCACAATATAACAATACAAAACCCTTCATTCTAATCATTTCTATGCAACTTCATTACTTCAACCAATGTGCACAATAGTGATTCAAATATAGAATCGGGACACAGATTCTACACCATGATTGATATTGT